ACCAGGGCTGCGACCCAAGACAAAACAGAGATCCTCGGCAAGCCAGAAGAATGGCAACAGAGCCTAATGACAGTATTGATTCTCGAATAAAGCCACAGTTGGTACAGAATGAGATATCCCCAAGAGAAATTCCTCCTGCAAGTTTCCCAAATGCTTTGCAGCCTACACTTGGTAAGGAAGATAAACCTTTAATTTCTACTACTCAGTCAGGTTATAGTGGTGATAATTGGGTGTCAAGTGAAAAAACTTCTACAACAGTGCCTCAGAAGGAGGCAGCGAACAGCAAATTTGAAAATGCTGCACAAGTTAATTTGGAAAATGTGATTCCAGCAGCTTCAGGAGATCCTTCTATATCCAAACCTTTACGTAAAGTACTGCTTCCGACACCTCCAAGTACATCTTTCCAGCCCAATTTCTCCACATCGAGTGATGGTCAGGCTTTGCAAGTACCATGGTCAAATGACTCAAAGGATGTAATAGGAAGGGATGCCTTTTCAAATACAGTATTTACTTCTCAGGAAAAGACAACTGGTCACTTTGAAGCGGAAAGGGGTCTTTCATCAGTGCAATATGAAGAACAAAGAAACCCTCAGCCTCATCCGTTTGTAGAACAAGCTGAATCTGTAGCCATGCAAAGTGAGGGAGAAAGAGGGCCTCTCCCACAGCACTTTGAAGAGAACAGAGTTGGGCCTCCGTTTTCTTTGTCTGGCCAGAAAGGAGGGCCTACAGCACCAATGATGCTCAATGCACCTGGAGGGCCTCATGGACCTAATTTTAGAGGACCAGCACCACAGTTCTCAGAAGAACATGGTTCTCCAAATAATGATGGGCAAAGAGGACCTCCTGGCAGATTTGGAGGTCAAAAGGGACCCATTCCTTCATTATTTTCTGCTCAGCATGGACCACCATCTCTTTTTGGTGAGAACAGGGGCCCGGCCCCATCTTATGGCATTCCAAGAGGAATGTCACCATCTCAGTTTGACGATCACAGGGAACCTCACATGGAACAAAGGGAGTTCTCCGATTCCCAGTACAACGAAATGATTAGGCCTCCAGGCCAGTTTGAGGGCCCGGAGCCCCCTCAGTTTATGGGAAACAGAGGACCTTCACCTTTTCCTTTTGGAGGCCAAAGACGACCACCACCAGCTCAGTTTAAAGGACAGAGAGGTGGCCCTCAATTTGGAGGGCCACGAGGGCCCCCCCCTAGCCATTTTGGGGGACCAAGAGGGCCTCACCCCAATCAGTTTGAAGGGCAAAGAGGTGCAGCTACAAATCACGTGCCAGGCCCAAGGGGGCTTTTGCCACAACCATTTGAGGAACGGAGAGGGAGTCCCCCTCCCAGATTTGCTAACCAGAGAGGTCCAGCACCGCTTCAGTTTGGAGGACCACGAGGAGCCTCACCTGCACTATTTCCAGAACAAAATGAGCCTCCCCCTTCTAGATTTCACTTCCAAGGTCAGTCATCACAAGGTATGAAGCCAACCCCAAGACCACTGCTGGACCTTCCAAGTCATCCACCGCACAGAAAAGAGATGTGGGATGAAGCTGGACCATCTGCGTCTCTTTCCAATGTGTCTGGACAAGGACCTGAGTCCGAAGCACAGTGGTCAGGACCTGATTTCCGAGAAGGCAAAAATCTCGAGTTCAGAGGCCAGGCATTTGAAGGGAGACCGAGAGAGAGGTATGAGGGAGGAAATAAAGACAAGGTTTTAGATCAGTCAGAGCCTCAGCAAGCGGATAATCGACAAGGTAGATCCTTTGAGGAAAGGCGAAGGGATCGAGAACACGGCAGACCTTGGGAAAGGGACCGTGGAAGAAACTGGAACAGAGACAGAGAAAGGGACTGGGAGAGACATAGAGACAAAGAATGGGATAAAAACAGAGACAGAAACCAAAACAAGGATCGGGAGAAAGATTCGGAGCGAGCTAAAGAATGGGAAAGAAACAGAGACCGGGAGAGAGCCAGAACCAGAGACTCCTACAGAAGACGTGATAGAGACAGGTCCAGAAGCAGAGAGAGAGATCGTGACAGAGATAAGGACAGGGACCGGGACCGAAGCAGGGAGAAAGAAAGAGATCGCGAGAGGGATCGAGACCGTGAAAGAGAAAGAGGGAAAGATCGCAAGGATCGGAGTAAAAGCAGGGAAACTGGTAAAGAGATCAAGCCAGAAACACCGAAGGAAGGACAAAAACCAACAGAAGCTGAAGCTTCAACTTCCACTAATCAGTCATAGAAATGCTTTCAAGGTATTTTCCATAAATAAGAAGAACTTACTCCAGATTTTTTGTATATACTGTATATTCTCAACTTTACAAAAATGCTGTTGCAATACTAGCCTTACAAGATGCACTGACAAATTAGCAGTTTTTGAACAACTGTGAATGAAAATGTTAAAACGTATAAAAGGCAAGAACATATTGGACTTTCACTTGCTGCATTTTGTGCATATGTTTTTCTTAAAAATACACAGCGTTACCCGTTCTGAAATTTTGTTTTTTTTCTACTTGCATCTTTATCTTAAAATTTCCATTTACAATACCAAAATGGAAAAAGTCTAAGAAGAGCATATTGCTTTTTAAGATTATAAAGTTATGTTTTCCAGTAACTTGAATTGTAATTTTATAAGAGAATTTAATCAAGACCTTAGGAGCCATACCTTTACATCTCATTTATGTGATATTTTGGTGTCAAAAGTTGTTCCTACAGCACATACTTTACAAAAGGAGTCCAATATTGCTGTCCTGTTTATTTTACAATGGATGGGTCGTGTGTATCTAGGAAATGGCCGCAGAAGAACAGTGTTATTAATTATTTGTAACTGATGGAGGATTTGAAAATGGAATGTTATAAGCTTAAAGTGCACTATCTTCCTTTTTATATACAAGTATTTTTTGTGTTTTGGAATCCATCTGTTAAGTGTCCAACCAAGAAACAAGTCCTACTTAGTTTTTTTTTCATGAGACTGAGGAGTTTTAAATATTGCATTTTTACAGAACTATAATTAAAGAGCATATAAAAGTAGCACCTTTATAACCAGCAACTTTTAAAAACATCAGACATTTATTGGCAAAGACTTAAAAACTGTAAATGAATTAATGTATCAAATGGAAAGAAAAATAAGATTGTTAAACAGGCCACTATATCTCTATCTTTGGTTATTCTGATTTAGTTGGATTTAGTTTTCTCTTTGTTTTGTTCTTGCAGAATGTTGCCAGAAACGTAAGAAATTTCTCCGTTTTCCTGTACTTTCCAGTCAAAAATGTTTTGCTCCTGAAAAGAAGTGTGTCACTTGGTTTTGTCAGACCTTACTTATCTGATGGTATATATAAAACTGCCCACTGAAAAAGGTGTAACTGCAAAATATGAAGCTTGAAAGAGTGGTAATGCTAAATATTGTGATTCAAGAGGGAAAGTTTTCACTGTGAAATACAGCTCACTGCTACTTCTCATGTATTCTTCAAGTGCGTAATTCTAAAGTGTGACATAAAGAAAACCCTGCTAATTTATTTGACCATGTAAGTTAACAGTTGGGTAAATATTTTGTTATTTTTATAAAACAGTTTTGCAAATGTAAAATGAGATTCTTATAAGCACTTGCATCTTGAAGACTACATTACAAGTAGCATTTATGCCATGCGTATCACTACGGATTTTACAGTTTATATCGGTGCGTCTTTGAAGTCCTTCCACATCAAGGCTTTGCTGGCTGAAACGATGGCCTGTGTTCTGAACCTGGAGACAAAATGCTAAAATGCAGAGAGGTGGTATTAAATACAAACATCTACTACGGTGTAAGATTTTTTTTTTAATGAGATGTTTCTAATTTAATGACATACATATAAGTATGCAAAAATCAAGTGTGTTTGTTTAGGTTTACTTGATAGAAATTTCTGTAAATTGTATTTTATATGGCAAAATATATCACTGTACATTAAAATATGGGACTTCACAGGTTTTTGTTACTGTAAGTAGAATAAACATCTACAGAGAACCGTTGTCTTATTTTTACATTTGGATCTCTATGTTATTTTCTAAATGACAAGTCAGAGAGTAGTTACCACAAGAAAGCAATACACAGATTTAATTTCATAATGGTTTAAGCTAAGATGATGCTTTGAAGACACTGCTACCAGCCTGAAGGTTACTTACTTGAATGTGTCTGAAAAGCATATGAAAATGTGCCCTTATATCTTTTCTCTCAGTCTAATTTATTCCATACTAATTTATTCCAAAATTATTTATTAGAATTATAAAGCAAGTCATTTCTAGACTTAACACCAAAAGATATAAAGGACAGCATAATTTTGAATTCCTTTGGTTTGAGGTTTAGAAAGAGCAAATTCATTCACATCATTTCTAAATTGCTTGATTTGTTTTCCATTGTTGCAAAAGTAGATGAGTGACTTTTTCTGTTTTGCATCTTCTAGGAAACTTTCCATTAGCACTTACCAGTTTGGGGAATTTGTTCACAGATCTAGGAACAGTAAATGAACTCTCCCACAGCAATCATAGCAGAAAGTTCGACTGCATGCAGACAGACTCTAAACTGTAAGCACAAATACTGCTGTTATTCTTACTTGCTGTTGTTTTATATAATTTAGGAGCTGGATTTTGTTTTTGCAGTGAAGTTCCTCTGTTCTGCACTGCAGTGAACATCAAAATCTACTCTCAAATGAGCATAATAATTTAATTCACAGAGAGTAAAAATGGTCCTGAATTACTTTTATTATTCACTGCAAGTAAAGGAAAATAAGGAACTCTGTAGCTTTATTCAGACTTTTGGTTGGCATGAAACAACTCTTTCAACCTTCATGTAAACTTAGCTGAATTAGCTTTCCAAAGTGTGTTTTGCAAAATTTTTATGTAAACACCTCGGAAAGGTCTAGACCGCTGCAAAGAAGAGTGTATTTATGACAGACAATAATATATAGAATTTATACGTACTAAAGGAGACTGTGATGAGCTTAAGAGGAGGGTAGAAGTGCAAGTGAAGTCCAACATGCACCAAACGGCTTTAAAATGTCCATTTTTGTTTCTTGAGGCAAGTCACAAATACAACTTCCAGACTGTGACGGCACCTCCTGTGATAAGGGGCAGTCCCGCAGGGAGAATAGCCGCAGGTTTTGCCTTTATTTAATGCTCACCTTATTAAGCTCAACAAAAATTGATTTTTGAACTTCCAGAAAGGAGTAGATTCCAGATTTTTCATTTATTCCTTTTAAGGGCTGGGCTATTATTTTTGTGACTTGTCTCTAGCCGGTAGGTAACAGAAAGGGAAGGTAGGAACCACTCGCAGGCACTGGATGAACCGCCCTGTGGGGCTGCGTTCAGACCGTGCCCGCGAGTGAGACCTGATCGAGCAAGCTGGAGCCTTTTTACAAACTACATAAATTTATTGTGAAGTTGATTAAATTACAGAAAATCCAGTGCAGTAGCTTCTTGTGCCATCCTCATTACACCTTTGTCCAGGACACTGCAAAAAGCCTGCTGCTTCCCAGCTGAATTCTTGCTGGAAATCCAGCAGGGAGACCGCTGTGTCCTGGACCAAGGAAGCCAAGGGGATGTGTTATGGCTGAAGCGTTAGGACTTCATTTTCTTACCATTTTCCCTCCCAGTGCCCACGTGCTGCTGGTGCTATGGCCCATGAGTGTCAAGCAGCAGGTGAGCAGCACCCAGCACCCAAGGTGTGGAAGGAGGATGGACAGCGGGTCCATCCCCTCCCACCCCTCAGGGAGAACGGAGCCGTTTGGGGCATTTTGGAGAGTTTTCCAACACCACGAGGTCCGCGGGCAGGACGGTGCTCGAGGCGACACCTCCTCAGCGCCTTCCCCGCGGCTCCCTCAGGGCTTCTTCCCCAGG